ATATGCGGACGACACAAGACTGTCATCAAAATTGTCACATATGGTTTGACCACGTGCAATATTCTGGAATTTAAGAAAAGCACCGCGTCCATTGTTGGAAGTATCGATCATAAACCTAGGTCTTGCTGCAGAAGAACGGCACAAAGACGACATTCTGCTTCGTACCAACACGCAGAGCCCTAAAGGACGAGCTTTGCCTTGTCATCTCTCCATCCAAATTCGCACGATGGGAAAGCTCAATGATGTTACCGTGATTGTGGTGGGCGCGGGCTATGGAGGTCTTACCAGCGCCATCGAACTAAGGAGGAAAGGCGTCAACGTCATGGTATTCGAGAGCACTAAGGCGCTCACCGAGCAAGGTGAGTACCTCAACTTCGTCAAAACCATTGTGAAGAGATCTAATAATTATCAAACAGGCGACACCATTCAAATGCCCTCAAATGTTACCAAGATCCTGGCGAAATGGGGTAATGTATTAGAAAAGATTGCCGAAGACTCAGCGCGACCCAAATCCTTGGAGTTGCAGGACTCCCACGGCAGCCTCATTCTCAAGCAGAAGTTACCTGGGGAGTATGACGGTTTTCCAATTCTCTACCCAAGCCGTGGCAGGGCACACAAGCTCATTTACGATTATGCTGCATCCATCGGCGTGCAGGTCAAGTTCGGGACTCGAGTTACCCAGTTTTTCGAGAATGAACACGAAGCTGGTGTCTATGTGGGCGACGAGAAGATCACGGCAGATGCTGTGATTGCAGCCGACGGCGTTCACAGCAAAGCAAGGGCCCTGATCTTGAAGAATCCCGAGAACTCAAGATCGAGCGGGTTTGCAGCCTATCGTTGTTGGTTTCCTGTCGCTGCGTTGCCGAAGAACCCTTTATTGGACGACATCATAAACGCAAAGGAGGACCGATACTGGGTGTGGATCGGCCCAGATGTACATGCTCTTGTCATGACCAACGTAAAGTTGCAATGGCTGGCATGTTTTTGCACGCACAAGGTATGATTGTGATTCCTAGCTTTACATATGGATCCCGTGTTCATTCGGCCTTTGCACAGGACACCTACACGGTGGAAGAGTCATGGAGTTTACCAGGCCGCAAAGAAGATCTCCTCAACGTTGTTGACGGATGGGATGAGAAATTGCGAGCCATTTTCGACGCAATACCCGCTGACAAATTGATTGACT